GGGGGAAGGGCAGGGAAGGATCTCTGTGGTGATTAATAGAGAGCAGTTTTGTTTTTGAGGCGTTAAAGTTAACCAGCCAATTCCTGCCCCAGTTCACAACCGATTGGATGTCCTTTTCGAGACGAACGGCCAGGTTAGTTATATCAGCGACACTAGATTTCAAGGCAATGCTAACAGAACTATAAGTTTTAACCAGATTGGCTGACGCAATCTTGACAATATCATATACACGGAGGAAAACTAAACAAGATAGTAAAGGAAAGTGCCGTATTGAAGTTAATACAAAATATTCTTCTTCTTCTGTATGTCTTGTCCCTTCATGGCTCTCCACAATTTCCCTTCCTTTGTAAATATTAATAAATTTTGTCTTTTTACTTTCTCCCCTAATCTCTGTTCTGCCAATCATTCCCACAAGCACTTTAGGTAGGTCATACACTGTTTTCCTATGTCTCTCTTTCCTTCGATATGTCCTGGTTGTGTCAAATTTTCTAAGCCCTCTTTCCTCAATATGTACTCTAGAAATTCTGTCTCTTCCTGATGTTATGTATAAGTTTACCTTTCGTTTTCATTTTCTTTAAAAATTTGTCGTAGCTAATTCAGTCCATGGTATTCTCAGCATCCTTCTGTAGAACCACATTTTTGTTGCTTCAAGTCTCTTCGTTACCTGTGGTTGGCTGATTTTGTTTAGCGGCATATCTACACGTCGATAATGTCGAAATCTAAATATTTTGTATGTAATTTTATACTTTCAGAGTAGAGTTATGTTTTTTTTGTATTTATATATTTTGTAGATCAGAAAATATATTGTTGATAATAATTCTATTGAAATGTATTTTTATATTTTTCAGTTTTTTATAGATTGTCATTTTGCTATAAAAAGCTATTGTAGGTCATTTTATTATAAAAATATACTGTTGATTTTTGTTTTGGAGTTCACTATTTTCCCATAACTGGGACCCTAACAGGTGCTACCACCCTGCATCAGAGTGGATCTAGGAGCAACAGCAGTTAAGGGAGTGGTTTCACGCTCCTCAACACTTCCAATTTCCCGATCAGTGACCTTGCAGTCAGATGTCGTTTATCATCTTATACAGGACGATCTTCCTCTATGATGCGATTTCCCAACATGCATTGCCATATAGGGGGACTGGTATTGTACAACAGTTAAGCACTTTTTTCTTTACTTCTAATGAAATGTTCCTCTTTCTTCAATCAAGGCCAATCGCCGTCGAAATCATAGAATCATTGGAAATTTCACGACCCTTTTCATTACCTGCATACTACGTGCTTCGCCAGGGCTACATATGATTTCTGAATTCACAATTTTCCTTCTCCTCGACTGGTTGCCTCTCAAAGTTGAAGTGCCCAGACTGCCCAACTATTTACCCATGATTGTTTTTATTGTCCCTCTCCTAGATGGTTTGCCAACCAAGGCTATAGGGCCCAGTCTGTCCTACTATTTTACCCATAGCTTGGGGGAGAAGAGATGGATTCATAAATTTCCCAAGTTTATTTGCACGTAATTGAATGCAACGAACTCGATTGAGTTTCGAACTCGGCTCTCCGATTCCTCAATCCGAGTCGCTATCCATCACTCTCTTAATAGACTAAAAAAAAATCTTTCCTTGTATTTCTAAAAATTAAATTCTTACGTTACCTAAATGGCTGTATGCCAAATATTCGCATAAATTAGTTCCCCATTTTTCTCAAATGCCATGTCCGTTGAGGACGTGGGTGATTATGACTCGTGACATCTTACATATTATCTGCGTTCTTGTGAAAGATATTCGAGTCTTCTTCATTCCGAATTTTCCCTCCGTTAGACTGGCAACCAACCAAGGCCAGAAAACGCAGTGTACGCTGCTATTTGACTCGTAGCTAAATGAGGATAAAAAAAAATGAATAAATGTATTTCCTATATGAGCGAAAGAGAACGTCAGAGACTACCTCGGATTTTGAACTCTATCCACCAACTCTACATTCCGCGCCGATGTCCGTTACACTACCTGCACATATTTGCCTGAAAACTTTGCATAAAAGGGCAGAGAGCAGCCGCCATATATTTGGCCGAATTTTCTGCTGACAAGCGACATGATGAAGAAAGAAAGCATGCAGTTTATTTTCGTTCTGCTAAAACGGTGAATTTGGTAAATCCGCTTAAAAAGAATCAGGATTGATTTCAGTACAGGTGAATATTGCAGATGAATCAGTATTTCTGACTGAAGAAAAGAAAAGTGTACAAGAGAGAGAGAGAGAGAGAGAGAGAGAGAGAGAGAGAAGAAAGAAAGGGGGGAGAAGAAAATGTCAAAGCAGACAAAAGGACATTAAAATGAAAAATAAAAAAAAATGAAATAAATAAGCAGATAAGATAGAGAGGTTGTATGACTTGTATTTGGGTTCTGCTTAGCCGTTATCTTCCCTGGCCAAATCGGTTAACTTGTAAGACGCGCTACAAGGACCCGTGTCCTGTTGAAGGTTACTTCTTTATTTTCGATACACGTCGCTTATTTTGAAGGTCGACGAGTGTATCGACAAACGTCGGTCTATGAATAGGTCCGTAGTCTCATATAGTTATTAGCCTAATTTTACTGTAGCCGCCAATTTTGCGCAAGACAAAAAACGAATCAAATGGAACTGTTGACAGCCTTTTCGATTGTAGATTAGGATATACGCGATTGCATCCCCAGCAGACTTCTAAAAGAAATATATTTTGCCAAGCAGAAAATAGAAAAGCCTATTGAATAATGCGAAAATGATGGCATCATTCTTTGGAAGTACATATGCTTGGGAACAACGTTTTTCGAAAATGAAATCTACAAAAAGTCGTTTAAGAACAAGATTGGGTGATGAGCACCAGAATGATGTTTTGCTCCTGTCATCGACAAATATTTCATCTGATGTGGGGACATATTCAAACAATGAACAGAAACAAGTGTCTCATGAAATAATTTGCCATTTCTAACTGTATTTCGTTTGGAGTAAGGAATTTGCATTTTTTGTGGATTGTGTTGTTATCTTGAAGTAAAATAAGGAACCTTGTTTGAATAATAAGCATTAACTTCGTTGTTTTTTCTTTGAACCTCCAGAGCAAGGTAGTCTTCTAGGGGGAACGGAACGAGGTTAAGACAATTTATAATAAATTTGATATAATGACCATCTTGCGTTACTCTGCATAGCTTTCTGACTCGCTCTATCCAAAAAGTTGCCAACCCCTGAATTCGAAGGTTACTGACTTTGCAAAAAGTTCAGGAACATTAGCTGAACACGAGAGAAAATTAAGTAGACGAAACAACAAGTTAACATCTCTGTACAAGTCTTTGTATCGAAGGATGCCATCGAGATGACACTGAACATTTCCTATGCTGACTGAGACAGGGACTTAAGCAGACGACTCGGCCGAACAGGGCATTAAGAAATTTGTACGTTGCTTTAAATCCCAAGATGACCCCAGCAGACCAGGAAGTTAAATTCAGTGTACAAGTCTTTGAATCTAAGGATGCGATCGAGAGATGACACTTATTCAACTGACTATGACAGGAACTTAAATCGATATTAAGGGATGGAAACAAGGCTTTCATTCCTAAATGTTACACTAATATAAAAATAATCATTTTAATTGACCGGGGTGTGGCCATCGTAGTGACCATGCGACTTTTTGGATCCCTGTGTAAGGGTTGGATGTACGCTGTGGGCCAGTACATTTCCGCATCCAAGTTCACCTGATCAAAGCAGGATCAGCCGCTTCGCTGCAAAGCGACGATACTTCCAATAATGGCATTCAAAATTTTCCGGAACCGGTTCTTTAGGAACTTATTCTGCTTATTTTCTTTTCAATCTAGGAATGGATTCATATCACTTTATGATATCAAAAAGAATTAAACCATTTTGATAATTTAATAGAAAATATTTATTTCTTAAGATATTTCCAGATTGAAATTATATTTTCTTAATATTTCTATTCAGAAGCATGATACGTTTTGACTATTATCAGCTGTGTTACGGTTTCTTAGACACATTTAAACTGAATTGGTGCAGTCCCAAAGATCCAGTGGAAGACCTATCAAATTTATGAGTTGAAGATTTGCCACATTTTTAACTTCAAGACGATTTCTTTCGTCGGAATAAATTATGTTCATCACAGAAAACCCTCTTTCAGCTTCCGCAGAACTTACAGCAATCGTATTAGTAATTTAGTTATTACATATCGGCTATTAATATATAAGATTATTTTCGGATAATTTAACAACCGGTTCGCTAAGCTTTTGTAATTTTAAGAATCAATTCGCGCGAACCGGCAGGATGTCACTACTAGATACACCCTATACACCCCTTGCAGTACAATCTAAAAATATTTAATTAACCTGGAAAAGCTTGATAAGCCATAAGAAAGACAAAAACCAAATAAAACTATTGTTCTCTTCGTAAATTGCTGTTATGGTGAAACACACCTATTCTATAGTTAATAGACTCTCCCACCTAATATAAGTAGGAGTAGTAATAGAAACGACGGTGGGTCGATGTCAGTCGATGTCGGATGACAGTCGAACACGAAAGTATCAGCGACCACAACCAGATTACTCTGCGTAATACCTATTATATCAAGTTCCTAACGTTTTGTACGTCGAACCTATTCTAGGACCGATTTAGTACAAATACAAGTCTCCACTGCGAAATCATTCCACAACAATTGCAAAAATATAACATGATATTCATCATTTTTATCATTTTATCAGATGTTTTATGTTAAAGATGAAGAAGAAAAAACAAGAAAAATTTCATTTTATTCCTTGAGAAATCATTGAGTAATATTTAGTTTTGATCTCATTGTTCTTGCGCAGAACGCTAATCAGAGAATGTTTTCCAAGGTGTGATTTGCATTTTGCTCACATGTTAATCTTTCATGAAGGTCGAACTTGTCTGTCTTTATTTCACGCTGTTTGACTTGTCATCATCGCTTTAACGCCCTTAAGTCAAAAAGAAGGATTTAAATACGGATCAAGATGAAGGATTTGCCCTCACTCTCATCCTCACCCCTTACTGTCACCTTAATTCTCTCACTATGTCTCCATTTTTCTCTTTGTCTATCTGTCGAGATATTTCTCTTTTTGTTTCATTCTTTTTCTCACTCCCTTTCCCTCTCTTACTAATTTCTTTTTCCTTCTTTCTCTTTTCTCTATATTTTCTACTTCCTTTTTTTCACATCGTTCTTGTTCTTTCCACTCTCTCTATCTACCTTTCTCTCCCTTTCTTCTATCTCGAGACTGATTTCTTTCTAATCCCATGTAATTCTTCGCTTTAAATTTTTGTCGTACAGTGGAATCAAGTGTGAAGAAGAAAAAGAGATTGCAAATTTCCTTCTTTCTTTTATTGGTATGACACTTTTTCTCTTTCATTTTTCTTTCTTTCTTTCCTTCCTTCTTTCTTTCCATCTTTCTTTCTCTTACTGTTAATAACTTTGATTTCCTCTTTTCCTTTTTCATTCTTTCTCTTCTGATTAATGACACTTTTCGTTGTTTTCTTTTTTAACTAGTTTTTTTTCTTCTTTCTTTTATTGTCATGACACTTTTTCTTTCATTTTCTTTCTTTCCTTTTCTTCTTATTAATGACTCTTTCCGTATTCTTTTTCTTTTTCTTTCTTCATTTCTATTCGAGCTAACCTTTTCAATTTCTCTTTCGTTCTTACTTTCTTGTTTCTCTTATTTTAAATATCTCTTTGATTCTTCTTCAATTTTTAATTATTTTAAATTAAAATATCTCGGATGATTTAAATCGCACTTTTTAAAAAACTTCTCGACGAATTTAAAAAAAAATTTTCTTCCTATTTTAACTTATTACTTAAAGATTATTTTTCATAGATACCCATATTTGAGTAGACGTTCTGTTTTTATTTATTATTAAACAGTGTATTTATTTATTTCCATCGACCGGCCTGAATATCCAAGGAATCTTATTAGAAAAAAATGCCCTGTCCAGCAGAATTCGAACCTGCATTCCCCTAGGGAAAACGTGTCATTAGATATAACGTGCTTTGACCTCTCGGCCACGAAGAGTCGCCTGGCCAAGCAAAGATTTCTCGAATATTCAGGCCGGTAGATGGAAATAAATAAATAATTTCCCCCTTTCTTGATGGTTACTTTTGCACGTTTATTTCATCCGTTCATACCGATATCATCACTGAAGTATTTTACAATATTGAGGAGACATTTCGATTCATTGTTGTCTTTAGCAAAATCTTTGAGATCATCCATGTAGAATAAGTGGTTAAATACTTTCTTGGAGGAACTTGCATGGTCCATTGGCGGCAAGGTCGAAGACGAAGACCCAGATTAAGCGCAACCAACCCAAAAGATCCCAATGGTGGAACAAGCGGATAATGATTACAACAGATCTCAATAGTTAAAGTAGCGGATGAAGAGGGCTACGCATGACGGACATGCTACAGAAGGCGTCACACGAAATTATAACAGAGTTAACGGCAGACAGTTGCAGTTTTTTAACTGGATTTTGCATGTCTCGTTCCATATGTGGTGTTGAGGAAGGTCTTGAAATCAAGTGTGTGGGTCACTTCCTGGCAAGTTGAGGCCGACCTTAAACAAATTCACACCATCGGCACTTTCATTTACTCTGGTTTTCTGCCACCTTCATCTAATTTAATCTTTTCCTCTCAGGAAATGTTGCATTTAGACATTTTGAGAAATTTTATAAAAATGTTTAAGAATTTCTCACACACAACTTCAGAAGCCAATACTTAAATCAAAATAAAAACCTGGAATTAAATAACTAGGTAAATATGCATGGAATATTGACGCTATACAGTCTTCTACTTACTTCAACAAAGTGTATCAATTTATGACTACTTCGCGTATTTAACAATTAAATAGAAAGAGATGGTTATCTTCAGCTAAAATATTTTTTTATCATCAGATTTCTTTATTTTATGTGCCCTGTCCCTTCAGCACGAAGACAATCATGGCTCTCCACAATTTCCTGTCCTTTTTAACTAGTCACTTTTCACTACTCCTTTGATCCCTTTTTTGATAATCATTTACAGAATTGCCTTGGATAGTGTTTACGCGCCATTTTCTTCTGTCCCCCGTGACCTCAATGTGTCCTGTCAAATTTTCTTCTGTCCCCCGTGACCTCAATGTGTCCTGTCAAATTTTCTTCTCTCCCCCGTGACCTCAATGTGTCCTGTCAAATTTTCTTCTGTCCCCCGTGACCTCAATGTGTCCTGTCAAATTTTCTTCTCTCCCCCGTGACCTCAATGTGTCCTCAATTTTCTTCTGTCCCCCGTCCTCAATGTGTCCTGTTTTTCTTCTGTCCCCCCGTGACCTCAATGTGTCCTGTCAAATTTTCTTCTGTCCCCCGTGACCTCAATGTGTCCTGTCAAATTTTCTTCTGTCCCCGTGACCTCAATGTGTCCTGTCAAATTTTCTTCTCTCCCCCCGTGACCTCAATGTGTCCTGTCAAATTTTCCTGTCCCCCAATTCAATTGTCCTGTCTTTTCTTCTGTCCCCGTGACCTCAATGTGTCCTGTCAAATTTTCTTCTCTCCCCGTGACCTCAATGTGTCCTGTCAAATTTTTCTTCTCCCCCCCAATGTGTCCTGTCAAATTTTCTTCTCTCCCCGTGATCAATGTGTCCTGTCAAATTTTCTTCTGTCCCCGTGACCTCAATGTGTCCTGTCACCTCCCCCTGTGACCTCAATGTGTCCTCTTCTCTCCCCCGTCAAATTTTCTTTCTTCTCCCCCCCGTGACCTCAATGTGTCCTGTCAAATTTTCTTCTCTCCCCCGTGACCTCAATGTGTCCTGTCAAATTTTCTTCTGTCCCCCGTGACCTCAATGTGTCCTCAAATTTTCTTCTGTCCCCCCATGACCTCAATTTTCAAATTTTCTTCTCCCCAATGTGTCCTCAAATTTTCTTCTGTCCCCCCCGTGACCTCAATGTCCTGTCAAATTTCCTCTCCCCCTGTGACCTCAATGTTCCTGTCAAATTTTCTTCTCTCCCCCCGTGACCTCAATGTGTCCTGTCAAATTTTCTTCTCTCCCCGTGACCTCAATGTGTCCTGTCAAATTTTCTTCTCTCCCCCCCAATGACCTCAATGTGTCCTGTCAAATTTTCTTCTCTCCCCGTGACCTCAATGTGTCCTGTCAAATTTTCTTCTCTCCCCATGACCTCAATGTGTCCTGTCAAATTTTCTTCTCTCCCCCGTGACCTCAATGTGTCCTGTCAAATTTTCTTCTCTCCCCCGTGACCTCAATGTGTCCTGTCAAATTTTCTAAGCCCTGGAAATTCAACTGTCTCTTTTTGATATTAAGTATAAGTGTCTTTTTTATTTCCATTTTCTTTGTTATTGCTCCAATGTATTCTCATTATCCTTCTATAGAACCACATTTCTATTGCCTCGAGTTTTTTCTTGTGATGAGATTGTCCAACATTCATTGTCATATAGGAGGACCGATGTTACATAACAGGTAAGTATTATTTTTTTGTTTCTAACGAAATTTTCCCGTTTCTTAATATCTTGCTTAGCTTTTGGAAGGCATCTTTCGCTATACGAACGCATCTTCGGATATCAGTGTCACACTTTCCGTCCTCTGTTAAAACATTTCATAAATATTTTCCATTTTTTACTTGCTTGATCCCTGCCCTTGAGATAAAAATCCAAGGCCTATGCTCCACTACTTGGCTATGCACGCAAAACAGGTTGTATAAAAATACCACTCGGAATTCGGCCAACGAAAAGCGGTTAACACCTGATAAGTCCTTTTGATTCACTACCTAATATTAATCGACCCTTCAAAGAACGGAGAATAAATAAATGATTTCTTTTGAAAGGGAATTCGGTCATCCAATTTTTTTATCCACCCTTTCAACAAGAAAAAGAAAAGAGAAACAAAATAATAAAAAAAAACATGAAAAATCTACGAGTACAAAATGGCGGCATAGACAAAAATAAAGATTGGCATAAAATAGCCAAGCCAGATGAACAAGTCGTATTTTCTGGTTATCTTCACCGGAAGTTCGAACTAGCCTCATGGGACTTTTTTCTTCTTCATTCTTTTCACATAGAATCTCTGGGTGTCGTTCATCTTCGGGCTGTAAAGCAAAGAATAAAAATCATTAACAATTTTATCTGAGCGTCGAGATTTCGATTTAAGCTCTTTTTTCACCATGGAGAAAAATTCCCGTGTCATATCGATGACATTCTTGATATGTAAAACCTTAGCCATTATCTTCCTTGTCCATCGGCATAAGTTCTCATCTTTCCAACTCACACGAGACAAGGTGTCATGTGTCATATTGAGGAAATCCCTGATACGTAAATCCTTGAATATCTTTAACTTAACTTCCGAGTCCCTCTAACTGTAGATATGTTCTCTTTCGTTTTCTAGGTTTGAAAGAGATCCTGCGTCTTCTCTGTATAATCTGTGGGCTGTAAAACGTCGCAACATGGGATTTATTTCTATTAAATCATTTTTTTTTGTTTTCTATGCATATTTAGTTATTATGCATTTGTGTACAGTTAATTATATGAAAAGCGTATTTATTCATTAGTTGGAAATACAAGAGATTAAAAATTTCTCTGTACGAATATTTGTTTCCCCCCAGTATATATATATATATATATATATATATATATATATATATATATATATATACATATATCACATATGTGGTGCAGTTCAATTAATATTACAATGAATCATTCATACAAAAAGTAAATTAGTAAAGTTAATGATATAAAATGGCGAAATCCCTTCGCTAACAAAATTTTAAAGATGCATTAACCTTCCAATCACTCGATGAATGTTATGATCCTTGTTCTTTAAAATTATAAGCTGCATTAGGTCTTTCTTAAATACGCGGGTACTTTTGACTGTACATTCAGCTTATAATTTTAAAAAACAAGAATCACAACTTAAATTGAGTGATTGGTAGGTTAATGCATTTTAAAAATATTTTTAGCGAAGGGATTTCGCCATTTTATATCATTAACTTTACTAATTTACTTTTTGTCTGAATAATTCATTGTAGCACACACACACAAACACACACACACACACACACATATATATATATATATTATAATAAAAAGAAAGAACAGTAAGATATATAATCTGGTGTTCTTATTGATATTTTTATTTTTATAAAACAGTGCTCAATGTAAATTTACAGAGCATGAATATTATAAAATAACTGATTTAAAATATGGTTTCTTCGCTACATAGGAATTACCATGTTTCAAAAACCGAAGAGATTCGGTTTTTGAAACATGGTAATTCCGTAGCGAAGAAACCATATTTTAAATCAGTTGATTGTGTAGCGAAGAAACCATATTTTAAATCAGTTAATTTATAATATATATATATATATATATATATAACTTTAAAAATTTAGGAGATATGCTGATCACACTGCATTGATTTAAACCTTTCGGTATCTTCAGGCGATCCGAGTTAAACAATTTCCTAAGATTTTATTATTTAAAAATAAATAAAGGCACAATGCGAAACGTAAGAGAAGGGGAGGAAAAAAGCAAGGGTATTGAAATTGTATCGGAGGGTGGGGGAGTTATATTAAACGTATATATTTTCATCCTGTTTCATCCGAACTGAAAAGAAACTTTTTTGTTTGTATGTATCGTGACATTATTACTTATCTTTCATTCATATACATACGGGGTGCGATGGATAAATTGTCGTCTAAATGATGCAAAATGAACATCGTCATCTCATTTTAACAAATATATTTACCAAAAT